GGCTCCCTTGGAATCCACCGAGTGCGAGAACTGAACATTCTTGCTCACCAGAGGCATCTAGGCAAGACTAGAAGACCATGTTGCCGAGGTAGTTTCTGTTGGACAGTAATCTGTAGCATTCATTTCAAATAAACAGTAAAGCTTGAAGAAAATAATCATTTCCTCCAACCACCCCATGAATTTAAAAGCATCATTTTTCCTTCTAATTCCACAAAATGCTTATTAAACTTCGGGTGCACGGTAACATTTAAGGAGCTGCAGCCTGCTTAGACTGCCACAGAAACGGGGCGTGGTTATGCTGAGGCTGAACCCAAAGCCGAGGAGAAAGACATTTTTCCCAAGGAACGTCTCCCATATCCGAACAGTGTTGACAGAATTCTGAGCCGCTGCAGGACAATGTACAATCTCATAAAAAGAAGAATGTATTGCAATTATATGAGCAATGGGGACTAGGCATAAGCAAACCATGGCCTAACTGCCTACTGGTTGTGACAGGCCCAGGCTGACACTCTTTGGGGCTGTGTCATGAAAGGCTTGCTTCAATCGTGCAGTAATCAGGAGTGGCACCGTGAGCCAGAGCCTCGGATGGGCAGTGGGAGCAACTGGGTTTGGAGCTCTTCTGCTCCACCCTCCTATTTCAAGTGAGTGACGGCTAAGTCACTGCATTTACTACCGTTGATGCATAATAACACAGGAATGCACCAGGAGATAATGATTGGCACTTCTGCTCTCTGCCTTTAAATTAAAACAGGGAGTGCCCTGTTTTAATTATTAGTGAGTGGAGCACTGTCGACTTGCAAAACTGATATATGCTTTGAGGATTCTGACACCATAAAACATAATGGCAAAGTCTCTCTCCCTTCCCCCATGATATTTTTGAATGTGCCTATGGATACATTTAACATAGAGCATACAAAATGCACATTTGCAAGACATAGTAACAACTACTATTAAAGGTAATAAATAACATAGACAACTATATTTGCTTCTTCATCTGCCCATTTGGCTAAAATGTTCCCACTTTTTGTTCTGTTTTGTGCTTCTCAAATCCTAAATATGACCTTAAGTAGATGAGTCTTTTTTTTTTCTTTAAAGATTTCATTTATTTATTTGGAGAGAGAGAGCACAAGCGGGGGGGGGGGGGGCGGCAGCAGGCAGAGGGAGAAGGAGACTCCCCGCTGAGCAGGGAGTCCAATATGGGGCTCGATCCCAGGACTGAAGGCAGACACTTAACCCACTGAGCCACCCACGAGCCCTAAATAGATGAGTCCTAAATATACATCTCAAGCTTGAACCCTTGCCTGAATCCTAGATTCATATATGCAATGCCTGACTGACATTTCCTTTTAAAGTTAACTCTTATCCACTTCCCCAAACCTATTTTCCCCCAATATTTCCCTCGAGCCATAAATCTAAGTGTTCTCCTTGATTTCTCCTTTCCCTACATCTAATCTGTTCATAAATCAGTTCCCCTCTCAAATATATCCTTAATCTGTTTGTGTATTTTTGCTCTCTGCTCCTGCCACCATACTGGCCTAGTACAAACCACCATCACATATGCTCCAGATTTTTCTAACACCTTCAGAATTGCTCTCCTACTTCCACTCTTGCTGTCTACCATTCTTTTTCACATTAACCAAAATTATTTAAGAAAAAAAAATATATGTATGAAATGTTCTCACAATCATCCCCATTTAAAATCCTTCATGAGGGTGCCTGGGTGGCTGAGCCCCCTGCTCACGCTCTCTCTCTCTCTCTCTTACTGTCTCTCTTAAATAAAATCTTTAAAATAAAATAAAAATAAAATCCTTCATGAGTTTCCATTACACTTAGAATAAAATCCAGACTCCTCACCACTGCCTGAAAGATCCTATGTAACCTGGCTGTCTTCTCCAGCCCCATTTCAGTCCATTCCCTGCTCGCTCATTATGCTCCAGCTCCTCCTTTCTGTTCTGTCAACTCACCAAAACTATTTTCACATCAAGGCATTTGCACATGTGCCCCCTGTCCGGAATGCTCTTTCCCCAGATCTTTGTATGACCTTAGAACCACGCAGGTCTCAATTTAAATGCCTGCTCAGAAAGGTTCCCTGACCTCTATATCTATTTTTTTTTTAAAGATTTTATTTATTTATTTGACAGAGAGAGACACAGTGAGAGAGGGAACACAAGCAGGGGGAGTGGGAGAGGGAGAAGCAGGCTTTCCGCCGAGCAGGGAGCCCGATGTGGGGCTCGATCCCAGGACCCTGGGATCATGACCCGAGCCGAAGGCAGACGCTTAACGACTGAGCCACCCAGGCGCCCCCTGACCTCTATATCTAAAGCAGATGTCCCCAGCCCATCTCTATCCCCACTCTATCACATTACCCTGTCTGGATTATCCTAGAGCAATTTTCTATAAATGTTTCAACTAAAATGGTCTTATTTGTTTACTAATTTATTGTCTATCTCCCACTATTAAAATACAAGCCCCCTAAAGATAGTGATCTATTTGTCTTATTCACCATTGTGTCCTCCATGCCTGGAACAGAGCCTAGCATGTGGTAGGTGCATGGTGAATATTTGCACGGTGAATATTTGTTGAAAGATTTGGCTTTTCCTTAGAGCATGAAGCATGTTTCAAGGTAAGATATCTAGGTGGGATACGGAGTCCATTTGCTTACTTATGATAAAAGATGCAACCCAAAGATTAGAGGTCACCTAGTTAGCTTTTCTAATAAACTCCTTCCTCAGCCTCATTAATATGAATTAAATTTCTGCCTCTTGAACATGGGTGATAATAAACATTGCCAATTCATTGAGTCTGACCCCTGCTTGTCACAAAAGGCATACGTCTGGACTATTAGGTATTTTTAAAATAGTGAAAAATTAACACCTGTCATTTTATTCTTTGAGAACACTGGTGTCATGGGAGGAACTTTATATTAATTCTTACAGTCACTGACAAAGTCTCTCTCCTTGCCTAAACTTTCGTTAGACTCCTCTGAGTCCTGTTCCTAAGTAGGCCTCAACTTTTGCCTCTGGAGAACTTGTAGCTGTCAACACAAATAACTTTGTCCACCTCCCACACTAAGATTTGAACAAACACAAATGTAGTTTTTATCCAGCTCAAGTCTGTGTTCCTAGCATGAGGACCTGAGCGCCCTCAAAATGCCATGCCTGAGAAAACTCAACATTGCCTAAAGAATTTATTGTTTGTTCTAGACAAAACCTCCCTGACCTCCCTTTTCTTGGAGCATTTACTTTAGAAAACATGTGATTGTAAATCTTTTCTCTGTCTTTGAGATTGTATATTCTACATCCAGGAATGCCTTTCTCAAGGATATGAGACCATCCTTTTGAAATGTAATCATCAAGAAGGATAGGGCTTTTGTCTCCTGGGCTCTGTGGGAGAGGAGGAGCCTAACTCTGACCCCCATTAGCAGACACAGATGGGCTCACCATATTGACCACCCACCTCCCAACACACACAGCGTCCTGTAGTACTTTTTTTTTTTTAACACACCCAGGACTTAAAAAGATTTTGCCTTGTGTTTTGCAGAACTTACCTCAGTTCTATACTGAAATCTCTCTCCCATACTGCAGTAGCTCGGGTAAAATCTGTCTTGCCCCTTTTAGTAAGAGTCCAGTGAATAGTTTCTTTTTAACATCATGAGCTAGCCAGTTATGTGTGGCATGTTTGGCTCTATTTTAGTGTAGATGATTTCTTGTAGATGGTGTACTAGATCTAGCCAGCAATTTTGGCTCCCCAAGATGTTGATATTCTTCAGGAATAGTTCTTTTTTTTCCCTTTAATCTTTATTCTAATTCCAGTTAGTTAACATACAGTGTAATATTAGTTTCAGGTGTACAATATAGTGATTCAACACTTCCATACACCACCCAGTGCTCATCACAACAGATACACTCCTTAATCCTCATCACCCATTTAACCCATCCCCTACCCATCTCCCCTCTGGTAACCATCAGGTAGTTCTCTCTAGTTAAGAATCTGTTTGCTGGCTTGCCTCTCTCTCTTTTTCTTCCCTTTGCTCATTTGTTTTCTTTCTTAAATTCCACACATGAGTGAAATCATATGGTGTTTGTCTTTCTCTGAATGACTTATTTCCCTTTGCATAATACTTTCTAGTTTCGTCCATGTCATCGCAAATGGAAAGTTTTCATTCTTTTTGATGGCTGAGTAACATTCCATTGGATATATACACCATTTTTTTATCCATTCATCAATTGATGGACACTTGGGCTGCTTCCATATCTTGGCTCTTGTAAATAATGCTGCAGTAAACAGAGGTGCATGTATCCCTTTGAATTAGTGTTCTTGTATTCTTTGGGTAAATATCCAGTAGTGTAATCGCTGGATCATAAGACAGTTCTATTTTTAACTTCTTCTTTTTTTTTTTTTCCGTTTCCTCCATACTGTTTTCCAGAGTGGCTGCACAGGTTTGTATTCCCACCAACAGTGCACAAGTGTTCCTCTTTACATCCTTGCCAACACTTGTTGTTTCTTGTGTTGTTGATTTTAGCCACTCTGACAGGTGGGAAGTGATATCTCAATGTAGTTTTGATATACATTTCCCTGAGGATGAATTATGTTGAACATCTTTTCATGTGTCTGTTGGCCATCTGTATGTCTTCTTTGGAGAAATGTCTATTCGTGTGTTCTGCCCATTTTTTAATTGGATCATTTGATTTTTTGGTGTTGAGTCTTAGAAGTTCTTTATATATTTTGGGTACTGACCCTTTACTGGATATGTCATTAGCAAATATTTTCTCCCATTCCATAGGTTGTCTTTTAGTTTTGTTGATTGTTTCCTTCACTGTGCAGAAGCTATTTATTTTGATGAAGTCCCAATAGTTTATTTTTTCTTTCTTTTCCCTTGCTTCTATAAAGAAGTTGCTATGGCCGATGTCAAAGAAGTTACTGACTGTGTTCTCTTCTAGGATCAGGAATGGTTCTTAACCCTGTCTTCACCATGATGGGAAATGGGCTCAAGGAAGGTCCTAGGGATGGATCTCTATCTAAAAAGAAAAGAAAATGGTAGAGTTATGCCCTGAAGTAATGCCCAGACACCTACATCTCCAAGCCTGTCTTTATTATCTGAATTCAAGCAACCCTGAATTCCTTTTATTATCTTATTTTCAACTTGCAGTCTTAACTGACTGGGGGGACTACAAGTCCAGCAGACAGTTGGCTATTGGGCCTGGGTCTCAGGGGAGGAATTCTGAGCTTGGAGACCCAGAGTTGAAGCACTTAACCTTCAGATGTATATTGAGTAGATAAGATTACCCACCAAGAATGGGTTAACTGAGAAGAGGGCTAAGGACAAAACCTCCTAGGAAACACCAATGTGTTTTCATTTCCTGATATTATCAGCTGACTTTTTAATGTCAGATTTTATGTTTGCAATGAAATGAATAAACTTTCTAATAGTGTATTGTCCCTTCAGATTTTTTTTCTCTTCCAAATTGCTCTGAATGAATCCATGGGCATCAGAATATGCAACATGACTCAGAACACAGCTTAGCAGGACCTAGATAAGAAGATCCTTTTCCCAACATCTTGGGGAAAGAGGTGATCTGTATTTCTTGATAAACACTATCTTAAAGATGTAATTCCTCATAACGTTCTCCAGGAGCTGGAGCCCAAGAGAATGCACTGGGGACTGCTCATCATCTGATGGGACACCAGAGGCAGTCTCTAGGGAGAGGTATGGAGTCTCCCCACAGCCAGCAGAACTGCAGTAGCACCTGCCTCTGCAGGAATGGGCAGTGACAAGCAGCAGTGAGGGGACAGAGGGAATGGCAGCAAGGTCTGGTAGCTCCTTTAGCATCTTCATCACAAATATTCGGTAGGATCCAGTTGGTGGCACTGTCACTGGGGCCAGAGAGGCAGAGGGAGCCTTCTTCTCCATGGGGAAGAGAGTGTACCTCTCTGCTTGAAGAGGGAGAGAGGGGCAGTGGGGAGCAAGGAGTGAGGGAATACAGGACTCTCACTGTCCTGGTGACCTCAGCTGGGCCACAGCTGGGCATCGTGAGCAGGTTAAACCCAGCCGCTTTCAGGAGGAGGATGCGGGGCCCAATCACTGACCAGTTTTAGAAGTTTAGGCTCATATCTGTTTCAAAGGTTTTCTCTACCAACTTAGCATCCCAGAAAATTTCTGAGCTGGAGTAGAAGGTCTGGTTGAAAGTGCTTTTGCATCCACAATACCCAAACTATGGAAAGAGCCTAGATGTCCATCAACAGATGAATGGATAAAGAAGATGTGGTATATATATACACAATGGAATATTATGCAGCCATCATAAAAAAAGAAATCTTGCCATTTGCAACAACGTGGATGGAACTGGAGGGTATTATGCTTAGCGAAATAAGTCAATCAGAGGAAGACAATTATCATATGATCTCACTGATACGACGAATTTGAGAAACAAGACAGAGGATCATAGCAGAAGGGAGGGAAAAATGAAACAAGACGAAACCAGAGAGGGAGACAAACCATAAGAGGCTCTTAATCTCAGGAAACAAACTGAGGGTTGCTGGAGTGGAGGGGGGTGGGAGGGATGGGTGGCTGGGTGATGGACACTGGGAGGGTATGTGCTATGGCGAGCGCTGTGAATTGTGCAAGACTGATGAATCACAGACCTGTACCTCTGAAACAAATAATATATGTTAATAAAAAAATAAATAAATGAAAAATAAATAAATAAAAAGAAAGGGCTTTTTCAACCAATTTAGTACTGCTGCTCTAGGCCAGGACCCTGTTGCTCTTGGAATCCATGGTCCTCATGACCAGCACAGTACTGGTGGAGCTAAACACTGCAGGTGCCATGACTTGGGGCACACTGGCTTGAGAATCAACGTAGTGAATAGACAGACAGAAGTGTTGTAGGCTTTGAGGCATCTCAGCTGGTACATGGGGGAGTCAGGGTTCTAGATACCCACATGCCCTGTCATCTTAAAACAGATGTGGTTATTTGCCTCTGTTCAGAGAAAATTGATTCTCAATTCTTGATCATCACTATTGGTGAGAAATTTATTTAAGTAATAAAAAAATAAGGGGGTGCCTAGGCAGCTCAGTCGGTTTAGTGTCTGACTCTTGATTTCGGCTCAGGTCATGATCTCAGGGTGGTTAGATTGAGCCCCACATGGGGCTCTGTGCTCAGCTGGGAGTCTGCTTCTCTCCCTCTTCCTCTCCCTCCACCCCTCTCTGCTCAAGTGCACTCTCTCTCTCTCTGTCAAATAAATATATCTTTTTAAAAAGTAAGAACATTTTTATAATCACTCAAAAATTTATGACGGTTGAAATTATACTTAAAGAGGCTATTAGCTCATTTTTTAATTGACAGATGTAATAGTAGAGTTCTCGCAAAGATGAGAATGGATTTTGAATCCAGTCAAATTTTCTCTTTTTTTAAAATTTCTTTTAAAAGATTTTATTTATTTATTTGACAGAGAGAGAGAGAGCACAAGCAAGGGAGCGGGAGAGGGAGAAGCAGACTCCTCACTGAGCAGGGAGCCTAATGTGGGGTTCAATCCCAAGACCCTGGGATCATGACCTGAGCCAAAGGCAGTTGCTTAACCAACTGAGCTACCCAGGTGCCCCCAAATGTTCTCCTTTAAAAAAAAATATTGATTTATTTATTAGAGAGAGAGAGAAAGACAGAGCAGGAGGGAGGGGCAGAGGGAGAGAGAGAGAGAGAATCTCAAGTGGACTCCTTACTGAACATGGAGTCTGACTCAGGGCTCGATCTCACGACCCTGAGATCATGACCTGAGCTGAAATCAAGAGTTGGTTGCTTAACTGACTGAACCACCCAGGTGCCCCCAATCAAGTTTTCTCTTGATAAACAAGAATGCATTGTAAGGACAGTCATCCTGCAGCTACCTTGGAGACTACTGAAAGTGTAGTTGGTGCTGTATATTTGGAGACTGAATTTGGTCCTTTGATTGCTGCTCCAATGGGAGGGAACCCCTTCCAGCCTCCCCCCCCCCCACCAGCTGTGGATTACCCTTTCTGGCCTTGTCAACCTAAATAAAGTGATAAACTGAGGCAAGCTCAAAAGTGTCAAAAAGATAAGTTTTTAGGGAATAGCAGAGGAATTGCCAGTCAGGACATGTAAATGGTAAAAGCAAACTGCAGGCAAGTCCCTTGAGGGTTTGGGGAAGGGCTGTATTTATGGCCAGGATTGTAAAGAGAAAAGAGCTCAGTTAGAGTCTGTGAAAATCAAAACAAGTGGAGACCACCTTGGAAAATTCCCGAGCAGACAGAACCAGTCCAGTCACACAAACAAAGCTCAATTCAGCTTATTTTGTGAGACCAGCCCGAGCTGGGTCATTTCTTATGGATGCCTCTCGAAGCCATAACTAAAAATTCCCGAAGTTGATATGAGGCAACCCCTGACCAACTCCCTGTCATTTAAGAAAATTCCAGTATTACCAGTTTTCTATGAATCAGGCATTTACAGGAAATCAGTCTCCCAGTCCTTAAGCTTTATATTCCTGTGGACATGTGTGTGAGATTTTCCCATTTTATATCCTTCAGTTCTATTTTAGACTAAAATTCTTTCTCATGCTACTGAAGTCGATGTGCAACTTGGCCTCTACCAGAGCTATTCAATAGAGCAGTGAGTTCCATGTGTTGTGGGAAGGAGAGAGACACACTTTCTGATCCACTTTTCTTATGTGGCCCTCATCGGAGCACAGAACAAAAATGTTTCCAATGGTGGCCATCAGCCAGGAGGTTCTGTACTTCTAGGCCCTGCCTGGGTAAAGCAATCAATATCTCTTTGCTTCCTGTCTGTTGCGAAGCTCTAAGGTAGAAGAAGTTTAAAGGCAACTGGTGAAGCCATGGAAAAAACGAACGAGAGTGATGTCTGAGAATCGAAAAGTCAAGGGCTGATGATGCTCTGGATAGACAAGGACTGAAAAGTTTTCACAAAGAGGTTGGGGAGGGGGCAATTTGGTAGGAGTAGTTTTAGTCAGGTGGTAAGAGCCCAAGCACAAATTTGCCATGGTTTACAGAGAATGGCAGTGAGAAGTGGGGACAGTGGAGGTACACAACTCTTGTGTCAGATGAATGCCCTGTGGTGTCTCTAAGCTTCCTGGATTTTTGTTTCATATTGTCTTGGGTAAAATGGTCAAATATTAAAACCCACCCCATAGGATTGTTAAGAGGATTAAAATAATTGACATGAAAACTTCCTGAAAATTATAAAGCACCTGAAATCTATAACTGTATCTCTATATTGTTAGGTATTTTTAGTTCTACTGAAAGTCTGTGACTCCTCCCATACCATCCCCAGCACCCCCATGAGGGCATCACTCTTCAAATCTGGTAAAAAAACTAATAATAATAAAAAAAAAATAATGAACCAGGAACAAGAGCTGGATGGAGCCAACATTTCTTGATCCTCTTTGGTGCTTAGGTGGTTATGGAAGTAAATGCCTTAGGCTGTTAGTAAGAAAGGAAAGAAAGTCATCCCAAAGAGCTACCTCTCAACAAACCACCAAATTTATTCTCTAAGGAGAAAGTATTTTTCATTAATTGTGATTCGAATTTGGCAAAATGCTGAAAGGGGGTGCCTGGGTGGCTCCGTTGGCTGAGCATCCAAATTTTGGCTCAGGTCATGATCTCTTTCCCTCTGTCGCTCCCCCTGCTTGTGCTTTCTCTCTCTCTCTCCTCTCTCTCTAAAAATAAATAAATAAATCTTTCAAAATGCTGAAAAGAAGCCAAAAGACATGATAATTAATTCCTTGAAATTTTCAGAAAAGATAAATTCTAGAAAAGCCTACGAGGGTAGATTTAGGCTGGGAGTGGCCTTGGCTGAGCCTGAAAATCCTAATGGAAATACAGGAGTTTTTCCCCTTCCCCCTCCTTCCTGACCAGCTGTGGTTTTGCTTTTCACTGTTTCAATTACCCTCCAACAACCATTGTCTAGAAGGAGATGATCCCCCTTTTGGTGAGTCCTCAGAAGGTCAGTAGTAGCCTAACATTATATTACAAAGTCTGCATCATTCATCTCACTTCATCATATCACGTAGGCATTTTATCATTTCACATCATCACGAGAAAGGTGAGTACCACACAATGAGATATTCTGAAAGGCAGACAGAGACCATATTCTCATAACGTTTATTACAGTTTATTGTTATAATTGTTCTATTTTATTATTAGCTATTGTTCATCTCTTTAGTGTACCTAATTTATGAATTAAACTTTATCATGCAGGAAAAAAATTATATATATATGGTTTGGTACTGTCTACAGTTTCAGGCATCCACCTGGGGTCTTGGAACATATCCCCCATTGATAAGTGTACAATCTACACTACTGTAGATTGCTGGCAGTCTCCTCCCGTGAACCCAACTCTACCATTTTAAGCCTGGATGAGGTTTACTTTGGTGTTCAGCCAGAGGAGGAGCATGTTCTAGAAGAAAGTGTTCGTGGATCAAAACCTTGGTTTCCTTTCCCATCATATTTTCATGGAAGAGCGTTAAACTGGGAAAGAGGCATGTGTAGAGCTGAAGTGGTGTCAAGCACAGCTACATGTCTCTGCAGCTCTATACCCTTAAATCCTGGAATTGGATCTGCCGCTGCAATCAAACCCTTTCACTTCGCTCACATAACTATATGATTACAACTGTGTAGACCATTAATAGCTGGTTTATCTTAAGAAAACATCAAAACTGGGTGCCTGGGTGGCTCAGTTGGTTAAGCGACTGCCTTCGGCTCAGGTCATGATCCTGGAGTCCCAGGATTGAGTCCCGCATTGGGCTCCCTGCTCGGCAGGGAGTCTGCTTCTCCCTCTGACCCTCCTCCCTCTCAGGCTCTCTCTCATTCTCTCTCTCTCAAATAAATAAATAAAATCTTAAAAAAAAAAAAAACATCAAAACTATTTTTGCTATACTGAGACACTATTTTGAATGACTATTTCCACTTTCTGAAAACTGATGTCAAAGCAAAAATGGCACCAAAGTTAGGTAGGCAAGAAAGACTTTATTCAAACTGGTTGCATTAGGGGCCAGATGTCAGAACTAACTCAGAACTTAACTTTCACTGAGGCAGAAGGGATAGGGCTTTTTAAGGGCTGGGGTTAGGAAGTGGGAAAGTACTAGAAAATATTACAGGCGGGAGCCATAGGCCATCAGTGTTTGCTAATTGGCCTTATCCAAAGGAATAATAAGCTCCTAATTTTGTAACCTGGAGCAAGGTGCCCATTGAAGTTAGGCTCCGATCCTCCCACAGGAACTGGGAGATAGGGGTACCAGCTCCTTTAATGATTACATTTCAAAGAGTTGGCTCCCAAGTCATTGAGAAAGATATTCCTGGGTTGCGAAACCAGGAAGGTGCTTTTAAAGGACTCACATACATCTCAAAGGTTCAAAGAAATCCTTTACAATTCCAAGTTTTCTAAAGAAAATGACCTAAGAAAAAGGAAGTCAGGGGCCCCATTGTGAGGAAGAAGCCTGTCTGAAGATTAGTCAGGCTGAGGGGAAAGGTTAAGGCCATCTTTGTTGTAATAATAAATTTTCATTTAAAATTGAAATAATTTTTGTTCAGTCTATTTCCTCAGTCGTACGTCAAACTCTATTTTTTTTGCTTTCTGCAATGAAAATGCCATCTGTTTTAATTTTTGCAAAACTCCAATTAGCACCACCCAATAGAACATTCTGCAATGAGGGGAATGTCCTATAACGCACACTGTCCAATCCAGTAGCCACTAGGCACATGTGCACTTGAAATATAGCTAGTGACCCTGGGGAACTGAATTTTTAATTTTAGTTGATTAAATTTAAATAATCACATGTAGCTAGTGGTTGCCATATTGGACATTGCAGCCTCCAAATCTACCTCACTATCATTCTATCTGCAGAAAAATTTCTACTACCAAATGTAGTGTC